TTGTTTTCACTGTTTGCAGCTGTTTTCACTGTTTGCAGTTGTTTTCACTGTTTGCAATTGTTTTCACTGTTTGCGGTTGTTTTTATGTTTGCAATTGTTTTCACTGTTTGCGGTTGTTTTCTATGTTTGCAATTGTTTTCACTGTTTGCAGCTGTTTTCACTGTTTGCAGTTGTTTTCAACGTTTACAACGTTTGCATTTGTTTTTGTGTTTGCATGTTTTTTTGTGTTTGTGTTTGTTTTATGTGTTTGTGTTTTTGTTTTTAGTGTTTGCGTTTGGTTTTTTGTGTTTGCATCTGATGTTTTGTGTTTGTTTTTTGTTTGCGTTTGTGTTCTTGTGTTTGCGTTTTTGTGTTTGCATGTGTTTTTTGTGTTTGCGTTTGTTATTTGTGTTTGCATTTGTTTTTTAGTGTTTGCATTTGTTTTTTGTGTTTGCATTTGATGTTTTTTAGTGTTTGTGTTTGGTTTTTTTTAGTGTTTACGTGTTTTTGTGTTTGCATGTGTTTTTGTGTTTGTGTTTGCCTTTAGATCTAGCAAAATGAACGGAGAACATATATATATATGTATTTATGAAATAATCAGGAAGAATAAAACCATAGTTTTAAAAAGCAATGGTGTTTGTAACAAAATGCTGCTTCTCCTATTCTGAGAGAAACTCCTAATGTTATTCAGAAAAATGGTTTAAATGGACAAGTCCATACATAAAAACTGTACAAGCAGGCAGAGGAAAGTATGTATAGGGTGTAGTGAGCTAAAGGTCTGCCAGGTCAAACATGTGACTGTAGCCCTACACTCCCTCTTCGCTCCCCCATACATCCCGCTCTCTGTAACCCCTTGGGCCTCAGGACTGAACCGAGAGTGAACCTAGAGCAGAGCAACAATTCTCAGAAACCTTCAGTAACTTTTAATGCCCTTCACCCTTCAACCTCATCAGTCTTAGCCTCCATCACCCCAACAGCAGCTGGAGTGGATCACAGAACTCTGCTTGCCCCCACAGGAAGGGTCAGTACCTCAGTATCCCTTAAGTACACCAAAAAACATTTAAGGGCATGTGTATGAGAATACAAATTGGGTAAATATTGATTAGAAAGGCTAAAAGGGTAAACACATGTAAATAAAATATAACTCAAATGTGATCATATTCAGCCACAAACCAGGACATTAGAAATCCTGAGGGTCAAAGTAGTCTTTTCGATTTTTAGATAATTGAACATTTAACAACAGAGCAGAACGATTGACTGTTCAAAAGAGACGTGGTGGACATTTGTTCCGTCACAATCTATGATAGTAACGATAAAAGCAATAAAGTTATTCACTAATAGGGGTTAAACGACTATAATTTTTTAAAAGTCGACTTTAACATGACAAGAGTCGACTTCAACTAGTCGATGACGTCATAGGAACTCAAGATGCTATCAAGGGTGTCAGAAGCCTCCATAATGTGGGGGGGACAGAACAGTGTGTGTAGGTGTGTGCGCGCGCGTGTGTGCGCAAAAGAAATGTGCACTAATGTACAAAAAAAGCAACATTTCACCTAGATTTGCTTTACTTCCACACATTTAAAGCATATTTCTCACCAAGTTTGTGTAAATTCAGCTGTGGGTTTTAGAGACATTTTAATTTTAATACACTTTGATACAGAGCGTCAGATCGGCACTATTTGTGTTTATAGAGAAATAAAAAACATCACCACTAGACATTTTTACTTGTGTTCAACACTCCTCATCTAAATGATGTTTCTTATGAAGCTTGAGGACAATAAGGTGTGTGGTTTTAAAGACATTTCAACTTTAATACACCTGAACACACAGCGTCTCTTACACTTGCAGCATCTTACAGCGTCACACTGCTAAGATAACATGATATAGACGTAGTGCTGCACTCAAGCATCCTCCTAACATGAATATATGTTGATGATCAACCCCCTGGTCAACAACTGCCCACACTAAGCTGCTAAACTGGCGAGTGAGCAACACAGAGATGTCTCCATCTCCTGCACCTGTGCCCGTTTTCTACCAAAGCAGGAGACTCAGCAGACTCAGGAGGTAACCAGGAAAACCTGGAGTGGAGTTTTATTAGATTGAGTATTCTCCTATTAATCAAGTGGAATGGATTCATTCACGAAGAAAGAGAAACTTCGCCGCCTGAACTAATGTTTCATAGTAAAAGTGGGGGGTCCAAATGAACGTTTTGTTAATGTGGGGGGGACTTGTCCCCATCACATATAATGGTTGCGACGCCTATGGATGCTATATCATATTTTCAAAAAAAAGTTTTAAAAAATCAAATAAACCCGTCAATTATTATTTAAAACAAAACAAAAAAAATCATTGGGCGCATATTTATGCTCCTACCATTTATCATACTGCAAATAAGTCAACGGAAAAGCAAAACTATTATCAAGCTGCAAAAATGCTGATGTTTTTAGTTTTATTTTATTTAATCCACCATGTGGATTGGGTGGAATAGGGTTGGGAACAGCGTGGGTGCAACTAGTCAACATGAAATATAAAAACTCACAAGATATCCCAGAATCGACTCGTCGACTACTCTGTTCAACCACTAAATGAACATTTGAGCATTTGGTCTTGCAATTTGTATTATTTGTTGAACAGGTGGCGCCGTGGTGCAGTTGGTAGTAGTCGCCTCTCAACGAGAAGGTTGCCGGCTCAAGTCCCGGCCCGGGATCTTTCTGGGTGGAGTTTGCATGTTCTCTCTGTGCGTGCTTGGATTTTCTCTGGGTACTCTGGTTTCCTCCCACAGAACAAAAACATGCATGTTAGACTGATTGGTAACTCTAAATTGTCTCTAGGTGTGAGTGAGAGAGTGAATGGTTGTTTGTCTCATTTGTCTCCATGTGTCCCTGTGATGGACTTGTGACCTGTCCAGGGTGTCCCCCGCCTCTCGCACAATGATAGCTGGACATGGGCACCAGTGACCCCCGTGACCCGCAAAGGAAGAAGTGGATAAAGATAATAGATGGATGTTTGTTAAAGAAAAAGGGGTTTGTTATAATCATAAGCCAAATTAATATTTGCACTACAGTGATCCGGTTGTTTTAGTTGTTTTAGTTGTTTTAGTGCCACCCAGGTCCATCACATTCCCGAAAAAAGCTTGACTTGGTTCTTAAACTGTGATGTTCACACCGAAATGACCTGAGTCAAAAAATAGAACTGCAAACTATTGACAAAAATATTTGCACATCTTTTTGGAAGGAACTTCTACCAAACATGTGCATCCGATACTGTCAATTTTTGTCTTAGCATATAAAATAGTGCTTTTTCCACAATGTCTCTTCTTACATTAAACATGACATGGCCTGTAAATCTTGAAAAATGAAGCAATGTCACAGAGCACATTATGAAACTGTGATAAGTGAATGTGAACGCTTTGACTCCAAGCAAACTTCAACAAGAACTCACCAACCCAAATCTTGCATCTTTGCATGCTGGCAAACTAATTTGATGGTGAGCTGCTTCTTGCATCACCATTGACCTCTTGCAGTGGATCAAAGTCATGAGATGGGGATTTCTTCAAAGTTGATGAAATCCTTTGAAAAAGTGGTTTATTGAGGAGGCCATGGACTCAAATTGCTGCCATCCAGCACACATACCCCCCAAAATTTT